AATTTTTAGCAGAAAAAAATCTTTAATGTTTTGATAAGAAACATTCCATTTTTAAATGAGTTTTTAGCACGTTTTTGAGATAAAAACAGAAAAAATTAAAAATTTCGTTTTAACTGGCTGAAAAAATAAAAAAAAATAAATCGTAATTGTTAGGAGAATTATTTTTTAGCTTGTATCGTTTTTGAACCAGAGGCTAATTTATTTTGCAAAAGCCTGTCCAAATACCATTAAAAATCACAAAAATTAATTGACATTGATGTTATTTTCTTTATTTGGCTCGATTTTAAGTCAAAAATAAGTCGAGAAACCACAAAATTTTGTCGAAAATATTATACGAAAATTCGGTTTTTTTGCAAAATTTCGCTAAAACAAACCAAAAAATCAACAAATTAAGTCAAAAATTATATTGTTTTTGCATGTTTTAGTACATCTTTTAACTAGGAACGGAGTTATTTCGCAAAATTTTGTCGAAAAATTTAAGTTTAAAAAAAATGTTTTTTATCCCCTTGTTTCCACAATTTTTAACAATTTTTTTTTAATATTTTGATAAAAAACAATGATTTTTAGATCAATTTTGACTCCAAAAAATAGTTAAGTAATTAATAAATACTGATATTTTCGCAGAAAAAAAATCAAATTAACTTTTATTTAACATCGTCATTTTTTTTAAATAAACCATCAAACCTTAATACGGTTTTTTAATTCTAAAAAATACTAAATATCAAACTATTTTAAAAATTGAAAATAAAACTGGTCAATAATTTTTTTTCCTGCCTCAGAATTGAAAACTTTTGTCCACATAAAGTAAAATTTAAAAAAAACATTTCAAACAAAAAACTAATTTTTGACGCAAAATTTTTAATGTTTCAATATTTTCGTAATTTTTTTATTAAGTATTTTTTTAACATTGTTGAAAAATTATTTTAAACCTAAGCCATTCAACATCACACCAAATCCAATTCTTTCAAATTTTTAAGTAATATTTTTGTATTTTTTTTTATTTTACTTAGGATGGGACACCTGTATGGTTTAGAGTTCGAAAAAACATGAATTAACAACTGAAAACACTGATTTTGTTGCTTAACATACAGGGTGGGAGCCAATTCACGATTATTATCGCCACCGTGTATATATTTGAGTAAAAAACATTAAAAAACGGTCCAAAACCAGTGGGGTCCCATGCGGGGTCATGCGTACCTTTCCCCTTGAGAGGTGGGGGAGTAAGGGGAGGCCCAAGCACACACCGATCAGCATTCAAAGAATTGATGCTAGACACAGAGGAGGAAGGAGGGATCGCACCTCCACGATTATTATTGTTGCAAAGACTCTCCTCTGAGGGGACCGAAGCCCTGGCAGCCCTAGTCCTACTCGTGCGTGGAGACAGCCCCTTGAAGTTCTGGTGGCGGTCCCACGAGTCCCAATACAGATGCATGTCCGAGTTGTCTTTCGCCCCCCGTTTGAGTGCGTCTACGAATACAATTGGGTGTTGTCTCCACAAGGGGGCACTGTCACTCACCCGTGTAGCGTTTGAGGTTGTGGAGGGCGCGACACAGCCGACTGAGCTCCTCGGGCCGCGCCCCGCGCTCGTTGAGGATGGTCCTGAGCTCGTGCTCGGACTTCTCCTGGAGCTCCTCCACGGTGGAGATCTTCTGGCACAGCCCCTGGATGGAGTTGCCGCTCAGCCCCACGACTTGCAGCCATTGGATCAACGAGGGGATCTGGTCGGCGCCCCCATTACGAAGCGCCAGTTTCTTGATCAGTTGGTCAGAGAAGAGTTTGATGAGTTTGCCCTGGAATTTGAGGGTTGGATGGGGTTGGCAACTAAGGGGGCTCACCTCCAGGGTCCGGATCTCTTGCTGGGTCAGTTCTGCGGTTGTCGCACATTGTGTACGGAGCCCCTCTAAACGTTGAGCAGAAACATCAATCATGGATTGAATTATGTCGAGCTGATTCCTTATTTCTCTGTCCGCCGCTTCCAAATCGGCCATATCACAGTACAGTTACAGACTAATATTTACATTTAGTTTCAATAACATAAATATTTACATATCACTATTTTTACAGTTTTACAGCTATTTTAGCGCTGATTTTTCATTCAATACCGATTCTTGTCATCGGCCATCTTTAAAGCTACTGACAAGTCTGCCAACAGGAATCACAACCGCCAAATTTAAAACCACAGCTCAAAAACACGAAATTTCAAATTTAATAGTTCTATTAATGGTTTATTACAAGCATTTAATCAAAAATTAACTAACATTTTTTGTTTTTTAATTAAAGTTAGTGACACTAAAATTCAGACACATCAATCTGACAAAACAAAAACAACCTCAAAGTCTTGATACTGCTAAAAACAAATAAATAAACCAAATAGTCTCTAATCATAAATATTCTATTTTATTACACTTTATCAAATCTTTCAAAATTTAAAATAAGTTTCTTGTCGGCGGACTTGACAGGTGTGCCAACTATTCCGATCGCTAAAAATCACAAGCGCCAATTTATATAAATAATAATTTACACAAAAATTTGTGCGTATTAATATTATTAGTGAATTATAGCAAGTCATACACAGATAACGCAGACTTACCCAGACATTATCGCGTAATTTGAATCTGATTGGTTGAATGTCAGAAATTTGAAAGATTTGATTGGGTTAAATTCCGTGACGTCACGTTAGAAAAAATAATGTGTATTTGTACGACTAAAAATCCCTTTGTTCTGTAAACAAGTGTAAAAAACGGAAAAAATAATGACGTAGAATTTGGTAATACAGGGGGTGTCTCACATAACTTGCGCCTAATGTACGCACCCAAACTAACACCTAAAAACGTTGTCATTTTTGAAAGGGTGAACAAACTAGATAAGTTTATCCAATTTTCCAAAATTTGTAATCGGAATATGTATTTTTGACTGCATCTTACAAATTATGTGAAACACCCTGTATTCGAACAAAGGCCTTTTACACCGGAACTGTTACGAAATAGTTTTTGTGACGTTTTCGAGAAAATTATTACAATAACGAGTCAGTCTTAGCTCAGCTCTCGTACGAGTCACTTGTCCGAATAAATTATAACTTATTATTTGGTGGTTCTGTGCGAAATCGTGTTGTGCGTGTGTGTTATGTTGTTTCGAGTGTTTAATAGACATTTAGTAGTGCGCGATTTTAAAATTTCGAGTTACTAGTGAGTGCCAATGGGGGTAATGGAGAAAACAATTGTGCTACAAGGATCCGGATTAAAGGGTAAGTCAAAAATAACTTTTAATTTTTTACAAAACACACTTGTTAAATTGTATTTAAAATTTTCAACTAATTTAAGAATAATTGGAACTAATTTTGGATTTCTTTTATTTCAGTAAGTCCGTTCTATGAAGATGAGGGGAATCGCTACAAATGGTAGCAGAAGATGATGCCATATAAGGTCAGAGCATTTTATTTTTTATTTTTTTGTTTATTGCAAAGTGAAGTGTGCGAAACTCGGGTCACCAGTGAGTGCGTGTTGTGTATTTTCGAGTGCTAATAGACATTTAGTAGTGCGCGATTTTTAAAATTTCGAGTGATTAGTGAGTGCCAATGGGGGAAATGGAGAAGACAATCGTGCTACAAGGATCAGGATTAAAGGGTAAGTCAAAAATAACTTTTAATTTTTTAGAAAACTCACACTTGTTAAATTTTATTTTTAATTTTAATTTTAATTTTAATTTTAATTTAATAACACATTAAACTGATTTTGTGTTTCTTTATTTTCAGTAGGTCCGTGTAAGAAGCAGAGGCAAATTGCTACAAAGGGTAGCTGAAGAAGATGCCATAAAAGTTAGTGCATTTATTTTTTTATTATTTTGTTTATTGCAAAGTGAAGTGTGTGAATTTGTGATTTTTGAGTGCAACAGTAAGTATTTATTGAATTATGAATATGAATTAATTGTATTTTAGATAAAATGTGTTATTTCTCAAATCCTTTTTCATAATTTGTAGAAAACAAGACTGTTACCAAACAATTTAAAAGAAAATCTTGTAATTTAAAATTATATTCAAATTTATTTATTGCGATTTAAAATACAAACTTTTTAAAAACTTGAAATATTGTAAGAAAATGTTTCAATATCAACAAAATTTATTTTAATAACATCAATTATAATAACTTAATTAATAATAATTTGTGTGAGGCGGAAGATTTGCAGTGGCGCTAGATTGTTTTTTTTTTTTACATTAATTTCATTTCAAACAATTTATCAGCAATATATTCGTAATGGTGAATCTTGCCTGACTGCATGTCTAAACCGCCGGGTCAGTGGAGTGCAAAAGTTGTGGAAATTATTTGTCAGAAAATGAAAATAATTATCTGCCAAATGGTTTCTTCTTCTTTTGCCGGGTCAAACAATAATAATAAAATAAGTGAAGTGTGTCAATTTGTGATGTTTACAATAAAAAGAATTTACAAAATAAAAGTCTAAAATAAATTCTGCGCGAATGTGAATTGGTAGCACTGTATTCCCAAAAATTATAATCGCCAAACTTAAACTCAGCGAAGCAGGACAATTTCAAATTCTAAGTTGTATTAATGCAATAATTGGTTCATTAGAAATCCTTAATCGATATTTTGTTTTTTAATTAGCGTTGGTGACGATAATATTACCAAAATTCAAAAACACCAACCTGACACAACAAAAACTATTTCATAAAAACAAATAAATAAACCAAATAGTCTCTAAGTAAAAACATACTATTTTAATTTGTTACATTTTATCAAATCTTCCAAATTTATAATAGGATTCTTGTCGCCAACTATTTGCACGCTAAAAATCGTAAGCGCCAATTTTAATCCCAACAAATCGATAGCATTTAAATGTAAAATTGCAAAAACAAATTCAAATTCTAAGTTGTATTAATGCAACAAAATAGTTCGTTAAAAACATTTAATCAATTTTTTAATTGACATTTTGTCTTTTTTTAATTAACGTTGTTGTTGGTGAAATACCAACCTGACAGTAATAAAAATCACTTCAAGGCCACAAAACTGACAAAAACAACTAAAACCAATAGAAAATATTTTATTTTGTTACACTATCAAATCTTTTAAAGCTTATGATAAGCTCGCAGTGCCTGGTATGCGGGAACATGTCAACAGCGACAGCTTTGACAGGCACCAGGGGCTCATTATGCAAGGTTTTCGACGCTGGACGTCCAATATCAATAAAATTTTTCAAAGCAGCTGCTGGATTACACGAAACGTAAACAAGTTGTCCAATTTTATTAATTTTTCGTATTTGCACAACTGCCTTTTGTTCTGAAACAAAAAAATCACAATTCTTATCTTGCATTCAAACAAAACTTACGTAAACCAGCACGAGGGGGATCCACAACTGCGACAACATCCCCCACAGCCCGGTAACAAACCGACCCCAGAATCTCCTCGGCTTTGCCCTCGAAAAACTCACTGTTTTCGATTTCGTTCAATTTCGCGTTGGCCTTGGCGTCTATAATGGCCTGGGGGACGATTTCAATCCCGAGGACTTTCTTACAGTTCTACCAACCACACAATTACAAAATCACAATCACAAAGTCAATGATACCAACCTTGGCGAAACATAACCCTATAGTGCCTGTACCACAACAAACGTCAAGAATTGTGGAGTCTTCAGTCGGCGCCGCGAGTTCTATTATTGACTTGTACAAAATTTCAGCCCCTTTGGTGTTTATTTGGAAAAACGCCTCTGGGGATATTTTGAATTTTAAGTCGAGGAGAGTTTCACAAATGTGGGGGTCGCCCCATAAATGCTCTGCCCCCTCAGAATCCTCCCCCGCAATTCTACAATGTAGTAAAATAAAAATTAATTTAATTTTTGTTTTGTTTTTGTTACTTTTTGACGATTTTTTGGTAGTACAAAGACGTGATTTTGGCCTCTTTTCCGGCTCCTTCTGTAAAATAATTAATGAGTGAATTTTTAAACACACTTAATTTTTCCTGTGATAAATCCTGGGGGTGGATTCCCACAACTAACATGATCTGATTTTGGGCAGTCCTGATTGTTAATTGGCGGAAATGTCCTGTGTGCACTTCAAAATTGAAAACTTGCAAATCTGAAGCTCTCACATAATCCTGGAATAGTTTCACGGCGAGTTTCATTGATTCCGGGATGTGTTTCAAAGATTCAATGTTGCCAACACCAGTCACCCCATTAACATAACTCCCAATTCGAAATCCCACAGTTGGTAATTTGGTTTCTTCGTCAATACCAACCGTAAAAGAACATTTGTTCCTATACCCATCACACTCATCAGCGTATCTAATATTGAGTAATTCACACGGGAGACCGTCAAATTTTTCTTTTTGTTTACTTAACCAATCCCTTAAATCGGGATTTTGACGTGCTAGCTCATTCCCGAGTCTCTTTAAAATGTTTTTCACCTCTTCTTGTTTAGTCTTCAGCTGTAATCTCAATTAAATTAAGTGTTAAATTAAATTAAATTAAATTAAAAAATTACTTGGTCCTCATAGGGCACATCCCATAATGGGATTGTGGACGATTTAAGCTTCTCCTCTTGACTCCTATTATCGATTTTTACTCTTTTATTTGGCCCTTCTTCAGAATTCTCTTTCCTTTTCTTCACCAAAGGATCAGGTGAGGGCTTCGCTCTCTAAAACAATTGTCAAAATGTTATGTTGGCAACGATTCAAATTCACGATTGGCAGCACTGCTTACAACTGTCATATCAAAATCGCACTCACTATTGCCTGAAGAGGTTTCCCTTTCCATTTAAACCCACTCAAAGTTTCTATAGCCTTATTTCTCTCCTCATCGCTCCGAAAACACACAAACGCGTAAGGGCTGTTCCTCTTGGGGGCCTTAATTTTCGTAGAATTCAACTTGAGCTTGTTGTTTAATAACTTCCGGAACTCCTGAAACAAAAATCAGGAAATTGTGACAACAAGAGTGGTTTTCTCACACTTATTCCGTAAATTTTCGGGAGGTTTTTGATTTCAATCTTGAATTTCTCCGATGAGAAGTCAGAGCGGTCCAAGTACGCGTAGGGGTCGTCTTCAGGGGGTTTTGAAGCCTCAATTGGGGCATTTAATTCTTGCTCGGGGGCGGATTCTTGCTCCATTTTTACGATACCTAACCTAACTTTGCGATGTAAACAACGTGGTTAAGAAAACGCTCGAATGGGAGTGTTACCGATTATTGTTTTGACCGATTTTTTTATTTGATGTGATGTTTTAAAAAATATATATTTGTGGTAACATGTACTACTAGTTTGGGTTTTTTTATAATTGACTAAATTAAAGCTAACAAAAAAGGTTTCGGTGTAAATCACTATCGCAATTTTTTAATTTTTGGTTTTCTGCAAATATCAGTGTTGCCAAGTCTAATAATTTATATGCCAGTCTGTTGATTTAATAAAAACGATTGATTATAGAGTGTTTTAATTTATTGTATGGTGCTCAAGACGTGATTTTGCGTCTATAAACATTTAATTTAAATAAAATCATTTTTTACTATGATCAAAACGGGTGTAAATCTGGCAACTTTCGCAGTTTCAATCTGGTGAATTTTTTTTTTTTTTGGCTGACAACTGCTGTCACCAAACTGTCAAAACATTTTTGGGGTTATAAGTTGTTTATTTTTTGGCTTTTCTGCTCAAGAAATGACTTTGGAGACAATCCCGAAAGACCTTCGTGGTCTGCGGGCTTGTCTAGTGTGCTCTCTAATAAAAGTAAGTGGTTTGTAACGCGTTACTTTTTCTAACCTCAATTTGTAGTCTTTTGATCAGTTCGAGTACGACGGTTGCGATAATTGCGATTTTCTCCGGATGAAAGGCAACCGAGACAACGTGTACGACTGCACAAGCTCTAATTTTGACGGGTTGGGAAAATTAACGTTAAAAAATTTGTCTCAATGTCTGTTTTAGAATGATCGCTGCGATGAGTCCAGACGACAGTTGGGTTTGTAAATGGCAAAGAATCAGTAAGTTGTGGGGGGCGAAATACCTTTTTTGGTAATTTTGGTGTTTTAGACCGGTTTTGTAAGGGTGTGTATGCCATTTCGGTGTCAGGACGACTACCAGCAGGAATTATAAGAGAAATGAAAAGTCGGGGGATTGTCTACAGACCAAGAGACACAAGTCAACGATGAAAACTTAATTCTAGATATTGTAATCATTAATTTGAAATAAACTTTTATTTACAAGCAAATACATAAAAATCATTACATCAAATGCAAAAATTTACAAAAATATAAACAACAGTTTAAAAGGCACACAAAAATAACGTTTAAAAAATTACGAGTGCCTTTTCTGGTTCGTCTCGTTCTTATCTTCTTTCAAACCCTCCTTGGTGGTATCCAAATAATTCCCAAATTCGTGAAACTTGTTATCAATCGCAGTTCCAGTCTCCCTCAACTTCAAATCTAAGTTGCTTTCAAAGTTCTCGAAACTAGTAGCGAGTTGCGTTTTTGTGGCATTGGCATATTCGACTGCCTGTTTCGATTTATCGGCCAAAGTGTCCCCAAACTGTTGCTTCTTCTCAGTGGTGAAGTTACTAACATCCTCAACTTTCTCACTGAAGGCTTTTTGGGCATTTTCAACACTTTCTCCAAGTTCTTTCTTCTTTGCTTCAGCGGCATCTGTGGTTTCTTGCCACTTATCACTGATGGCTTCCACCACTTGCCTCCGTTTGGCTTCAGCCGCGTCACGTGTGTTTTTCACTGAAGTATCGATCGTTTCTTTTAGTTTGTTTTCGACGCTTTCTTCATATTCATTGAATTTTAGCTTCTTATCTTCCAGTGCTTCACTTACTTCTTTCTTCTTGGCTTCGGCACTCTCTCTCAGTTCTTTGGCTTTCGCTTCAGCTGCGTCTCTGACTTCTTTTGCTTTTTGCGCAGCTGCTTCTCGGGCTTCGCGTGCTTTGGCTTCAGCTGCGTCTCTCACCTCTTGTGCTTTTTTATCGATGACTTCTTGTGTCTCTTTCACTGTCTCTTCAGCGGCGTTTTTCGTCTTTTGAATTGTTTCCCCCAACTGTGTTTTTTTCGTCTCGAGATCTTGCTCAGTTTTGTGGACTGAAATGTGATTTTTGTATTCAAAGATGAGTTGTAATTTAACTTACCGGCATCTTTGATGCTTTCCTCTGTTTGTGTGTAAAGTTCTCCGGTTTTGACACTGGAGTCGTGAGCCAAATCTTCGACTTTGTTAACCGTGTCTTCGGTTTCTTGCGTTATTTCTTCTTTCTTACTCCGGCCGAAGAGTTTTCGGAGCGATGCTGCAACGATGCAAAAGAATAATGAAACCAGGTGTAAAGTTACTAATTCCAGGGAATTTTTTAAATGAGGTATGAAATTTCGCCGCTTCAGGAACATTTTAAGCGGATACAAGAAGCTTGATAAAAATTATCAAACACCAAGTTGTTTGACATCATAAAAATGTGATAAGCAGCACATAAAATCCGCAAACAAATTTCAAAGGTCAAAGAAAATACCCATTTAAGTCAAATTTTGGTAAAAAATTAGTTTATTTTCTCAATTTACATAAGTGAGATCAAAATAAGAATTTATTATGCTGTAATATGCCAATTCATAACCTTTAGTAGGTCGGGAAATTTGTCATTACATCCCGTGGTCTGTAAGTAATTTATGAGTTACGAGACCAACTTTAACAGAAAAACAGATATATTTTATTATTTAAACGAAATGTGTGATTCTTGATTATGAATAAAATGGTGTGTCAAAATGAATTTCATCTAGTCGCTTATGGATTTCTATGTAAAATAAAAAAATGCCGCTTTAAAAAATATTGGATCTAATTAACCTCAAGTTATTTCGATTGACAGCTGTCACTGTTGACAGAACTATCTGGTTTAAAAAGAGTAGAGCGGCACAGATTTTTTTTACATGTAAAGAAATGTCATAGGCGACTAGATGACAATCACTTCTCTCAAACGGATTTAAGCACGAATTTGAGCCTTCAAGGTAATGACATATTTTCCACCGCGATTCTAATATACTATTATTTTAAAAAAGACAGACTTTATGTATGTTTATTTATGGCCCGACTTCAAAAAATAAAAAAATTAAATTAAAATTAATTATAAACATTAAACAGACAAAAAATGTCAAATGTCAACAAATAAATGTCAACATTTTTTAACAGATAGATCTTTTTAAACATTTTTCCGTGTTTTTATCATCTTATTTTACTTGAAATTTTTCTCTGAGACGCGAGTTCTGAAACATCGTGTATTTTTTTATTTGCTGTTTTTTGACATTATCTTATTTGACAGCATGCTACTAGATTTTATTAACTTTTATTAACTTTTTTTTTTAATTTAATATTTTTTTAAGCAATAATTTTTAGTAAAAGTAGAACATTTTGCACAAAATATGAAGTTGAATATAGCCTAAAATAAACTCTGATATTAATTTAGAAATTGTATGTAAAATTGTATGTAAAATTGTAGGCTTCTACATTAAAAGCCATTTCATATTTTTTTTACTTTTGAAATCTAACCACAATAAAAATTTCTACAGGGCTTAACGTTTTTTAAAAAAACACCTTATTTAGTAAAATACTATTTCCTTTAAAACTGAAAACTCTAAAAACTTTTCTATTATATCACTAATAATTTTTATTATACTATTGATATTGTTTAATAAAAACACATTGCAAGATTGCTGTTTTACTCTTGTATTTTTTAATTAATTCAAGAAAAAATATTGTCTTTGATGAATAATTTTGACAAATTATTGTTTAGAAACTCAAAAATGTGCACAAAGTGATGAGAAATAAATAGTAAAAAATTAAGAGAAATAATAAATGATTGATTTGTTTTAGTTTTTAAAACTGAAACAATTGATTTTATAGAAACGCAATCTAAGATATAATTAATTAAAAAAATATGTTAAAAAAGTATTTTCATTAGCAAAGGTCACGAAAAATTGAAATGACTTAATTAATTAACTGAGTAACAATGGATCATTTCTATTTATAAAGGTTTATTAAACTTGCTTGGTGAATAATTTAAAAAAGATAATAACAATTATTTACATGTTATATAAATCAAATGATAAAAAATTTTGAACTATTTATACAGGGTGCGCCAGAACTCGCGCCCCAGGAATATGTTAAAAAAATTCTATCTATAAAATTTCGAAGTTATGACAGTTAAAATTTTGCACTTTGACTTATTTCAGTTGGAAAAATATTTTTTTAGAAGAGAAAACAAGGAAGTTGTATCCTAAATTGTAACTCTGTTTAATGTTATTTGTGGCTTTTATTGGCAAAAATTTTGTACCTTTACTAAATAATAATAAATAAAACCATATACAAGATCATCAGTATCATTAAATAGACATAAAAAATGTCAAATGTCAAAATTTTTTGACTGATAGAATTTTTTAATTTCATGTCCATGGTATCTTAATTGAAATTTTTCTCTGGGGCGCGAGTTCTGACACACCCTGTATATATTTTTCTTTTTTATTTTGTGGTTGAAATAATTGCATTAAATCATGATTATTTAAAAAGCCAATAATGACACACTATGTGTCATAATTGGTGACGTAATTTTGTATTTTCAAATTTTGGTGCTATATTCAGTAACGTTAATTGATTTTCGGTGAAAAATTTACACTATTACCAACATATTTGTGTGATTATGTCACATCTAATTAATTTTTCGAAGTGTATTATTATTCCAAGGTTGGTGTTAAACTTCCTTGAGAATATGACCCATCGATGATGTCATTTTACAGTTGAGTCTTGAGAAAAATTGAAGATTTTTGTGCATTTTATGACCTTTAAACAGCAAATTTATTGGTTTATTTTTAGCAACCTAATTTTAAGATAAAGGTTGACGTACGCTATTCTTAATTGTTAATTATGTAACAATCAAATATTTGGTAACTTGCCTAAATTGTGCCAATATTAAAAATAAATCTACAAATTAAATGAAATTAGTTTGTATGAGGTTTACCACAATTGATAAAAATAACATTTCTGGTTATTTGTTGGATCGAAACTACGCAGACTTTGCTGAACCCACGCAAAATAACTCAAACAATTCCGCGTTTCAAAATGGTAATTTTTTTTCAGAATTGTATTAAAAAAATGATTCTCGCTGTGAATATTAAGTTGTGATGGTCTGTTGATTTTGATTGTGATGGGTTAGACCTTGGTCAACAACGACGCAATTGTCGTAGTAATCGATAATTAATTAATTAAGAATGTTTATTTTTCAACGTGAATTGATTATTATTGAAACTTACCGGTAAAAGACGACCACATTTTTGCGTGTTAAACAGTCACTAGTTTTTCAAATGTGTTTATTTGTTGGAAATTTGCGTTGTAAGTGTAGGAAAGTGCACCGATGACTAAACTTGTTGACTTGGGCGTCGATTACGAACTCCTGGCACCTCTGCAGCTCCTCCTTGTTTACGGGTCGAGATTTTCCATGATGTCTCATTCATACAGCGATAAAGAAAATTACCAGACTGGAATTTATTATCAAAAATAATTTACACAGGGTGTCATAAATTTCAAAAATTATTGGTACAAATTTAATTGTGACTTCAGGAAATAAACTGAAAAAACTTTGGGTCAAGTTTTAACAATTTAACATTTAGTAAAATAGTAAAAAAGTGGGTCTCGTAAAAAATACTGTTGAATTATTATGAAATTTTGAAAATTGTCAAGATTGTGATTGGAATTTAGAGGATTAGGTGTTTTTTTTATTTATTTTGTACCCACATACAGGGTGTCCCAGCGATTTGATTTTGACCTTTAAATGGTAAAATTTAAAACAAAATAAATGACTGAAACAATAACAATTTTAAGAATTATGATTTTATTAAAAATCAGTTTTTTTGATTTAATTTTGGAGGAAATTTTTTGACGAAAATTAAGAAAAATCTTTTACCAATGGATTTTTTTTAATGGAAACTTCTATTTTTTTAGCGATTTTGATAAAAAAATGTCGAAATGGTAACACCAAAATACTAAATATTATAGTTTTCGAAAAAAGAAAATCATTTAAAAAATGGAATTATATCAACAAAAAACAAACATACAATCAAGTTGGGAATTGGGTATTTTTTAAACAGAAAATTGACCTGTCAAAACAAACTATTTTCAGTTTTAATTAATAAGATTAATCGATAATTTCGCCGCTCACTGTAAAAGGATTACAACTATCTACATCTTAATCAATTTTTTCAAATAAGTTGCCATTTTGAAAAAAATCACAAAATTCAAAAACAAAACAAAATTTCATTGTCAAAACACAATCACATATAATAATAATGATAATAAACCGTCTTGATTTGAATTATATAACTTGGAAAGTGAAGTCTAGCAAATGCTACTTAAACTTAACCCCCTTAACAAAAATAACTATTTAAATAAATAAACAGAAAACTAATGAAATAAATAAATAAAATGAAATGTACAAAAACTGTACTCTAATAAAACTAAAAATAACTGACCTACTAACAAAAAAAAACAGAAAAATATATAATAAAAAAGAAAAAAAATAACAATATGAATTAGTAAAATATGTTTTAATTTTTTTGCGAAAATTGTTCACCGAAAGTTTTTCTTTAAACAAATGACATGTATTGTAGGAGAGAGATTTTTTAAATATAGCTGTTTTGAACGATCATCAAACAAGATTATTTTCTTTCTTTTAATTTAAAAAAAAACTTGCCTCATTTTAAAAACTTTTGTTGAATCAAAGTAAGAAAATTCAAAACTGGGCTCTATGAGTAAACAAGTTATTTCTCCMTTTATTCTTAGATTAGATTTGGCATTTTTCGAAGAGAGACAACTTTACTTACAAAGATTTTGTTAAAATTGTAGAGCCAGACCAAAATTTTTGTTCTTTAAGGTTGTTTAATTTTTTKAAYAAAATTMCRGAAAATTGWAGTGATTTTTGRTTGCTCTGTTTAATTTAAGTTCAGTGGACAAAACCAGATTTTCCTATTATCAATCGATTTATGTTTTTTTCCTGATCTTTGCTACCACAAGTTATGAGCCACTTATGCTCAAGTGATGTCACTTGATTTATCAAATTGTAATTTTATCAATTATTATCAATWCAAAAATGTAGAAAAAACTGTTTTTACAAATCTGCGTTGTTTTGCTACTTTCAGCAATATTTTAAACATCTTATTAAAGCAAAAAAAAATAYAAAAACATTTTGTTAAATTTTGGTTAGGACTAAAATATAACATTTCCAGTTTGCAATTTATTGTATTCACATCTGAATTTTTTTTGGAAATATTCAAAACAGGAATCAAATTTTGAGAAATAAGTAAAAAATACTCTACTTCTTGAATTTTTATCTTTCTACTTTTTTTTTATTAAGTGTTTGAGTTAATTTTTTACAAATATTGAATCAAAATCACTATGATTGTGAATCCAGTGACCCAACTTGGGATAAGATTACGACTGGAGACTAGATTAACAAAAAACAATACCACTTTTTAATTAAAAAAGTGATAAGTAAAAGTGTTTTTTGAAGTACTGATTGTCTTTCTCTGACGGAAAAATTCACTCCGATGACGTCAAATAGTAAAACTTTTTTTTTAGATTAGATTTGGCTAAAAATGGCATTTTTCGAAAAGACTCGACTTTGCTTTCAAAGATTTCGCTAAAATTGAAGAATCAGGCCAAAATTTAATTGTTCTTTAATTTTTTTGTAGTGATTTTTGCTTGCTCTGTTTAATTTAAATTCAGTGGACAAAACCATATTTTCCTATTATCAAACGGAAAGTTACGAAATGGATTTACGTTTTTTTCCTAATCTTTACTATCACAAGTTATCCTCAAGTACTGTCACTTGATTTATGAAATTGGAATTTTATTTAAAATTTCTTCTTTCTTTGACTCATTAAAATATTTGAAAAAAGTTGGTGCAAAGAAAAAAAGCAACCATAATGCAAATCAATGCAAAAATCTAGAAAGAACTGTTTTTACAAATCTGCATTGTTTCGCGACTTTAGTCAATTTTTTAAACATATTATTATTAAAGCAAAAAAATAAATTCTAGTTAGGACTAAAATATTTGATTTATTAAGCATTTTTATAAATATATGTTTTTAATTTGAGCTACTTTTAATGATTTTTTCTAAATATTAAGCCAAAATCTCTATCAGTGTCCTCCAACTTGAGATAAGATTAGGACCGGAGACTATATTAACAAAGAACAAACCATTTTTAATTTAAAAACTGTTGAGTAAAAGTGTGAGTGCAAAATGTGGTTTCCTGGAGCACTGATTGTATTTTTGTTGTCTTTCTCTGACGGCAAAATTCTCTCTGAGAAAGGCAATTGGTAAAACAAGCGTTTATATTTTTGTAAAACTGATTTTTTTAGAACTTAAAGTCATTAATGGCAATGATGCGAAAGAGGGACAATTTCCCTGGCACGTCTTAATAATAACTGATACAACAAAAAATAATATTATTTTGTGTAGTGGTGCTATTATCAGTCGTGATTGGGTTCTCACTTCTGCTTCTTGTATAAATCAGTTGGTAATTTAATTTAAAATAATCAAAAATATATATATTTTTTTGTAGAGCTGACGATGTGAGTGTTGCTTCTGGATATACTGATTTCAGTGTTTTGCCAGAAATTATGGCAATAGGGGCTCAAAGAATCATCATTCATGAAGATTTTAAGAATGATACTCTTCAAAATGATATCGGATTGCTGAAACTCGAGTCATCTTTAAGTTTTGATGGTGATGTTTTAGAATTTCAAAATTTGAAATAACTCAATAAAAAATTGTTTCAGAAACCACTCAAGCAATATCTTTGAGTAAAGACGTTGTGGAGGACGGAATTATGGCTACAATTGCTGGTTGGGGACACTCCAATAAAGGTAAAATTTTAATACAAAATTTTATAATTGAATTAATTCAAAAATTGTATCCAGACTCACCAACGATTGATAACATAACTCCGGTTCTACAATTTGCGAAAGTTCCTACTATCACGAATTCAGAATGTGCAAAAATTTATGGTACTGATGTTGTAACTTCAACTGTGATTTGTACATTCAATCCAAATGTTGTAAGAGGCCCTTGTATTAACGACGGTGGAGCCCCCTTAATTAAGAATGCCGCCACTGACCCACAACATGTCGGTATCTTCAGTTTTATGGGAGAAAACGGGTGTGAAAAAAATTATCCTGCAGGATATACAAGAACTGCACCCTATGTAGATTGGATTAAAAATAAAACTGGAATTTAAGTTATTATCACTTGCAAATAAAATTTTTTATTGAAATTACGGTTTTTTTTCACTGAATTGAAAAATGCCATTTTTAGCCAAATCTAATCTAAGAAAAAAAGTTTAACCATTTGCCGTCATCGGAGTTAATTTTTCCGTCAGAGAAAGACAATCAGTACTTCAAAAAACACTTTTGCTTATCACTTTTTTAATTTAAAAGTGGTATTGTTTTTTGTTAGTCTAGTCTCCAGTCGTAATCTTATCCCAAGTTGGGTCACTGGATTCACAATCATAGTGATTTTGATTCAGTATTTGTAAAAAATTAACTCAAACACTTAATAAAAAAAAAGTAGAAAGACAAAAATTCAAGAAGTAGAATATTTTTTACTTATTTCTCAAAATTTGATTCCTGTTTTGAATATTTCCAAAAAAAATTCAGATGTGAATACAATAAATTGCAAACTGGAAATGTTATATTTTAGTCCTAACCAAAATTTAACAAAATGTTTTTRTATTTTTTTTTGCTTTAATAAGATGTTTAAAATATTGCTGAAAGTAGCAAAACAACGCAGATTTGTAAAAACAGTTTTTTCTACATTTTTGWATTGATAATAATTGATAAAATTACAATTTGATAAATCAAGTGACATCACTTGAGCATAAGTGGCTCATAACTTGTGGTAGCAAAGATCAGGAAAAAAACATAAATCGATTGATAATAGGAAAATCTGGTTTTGTCCACTGAACTTAAATTAAACAGAGCAAYCAAAAATCACTWCAATTTTCYGKAATTTTRTTMAAAAAATTAAACAACCTTAAAGAACAAAAATTTTGGTCTGGCTCTACAATTTTAACAAAATCTTTGTAAGTAAAGTTGTCTCTCTTCGAAAAATGCCAAATCTAATCTAAGAATAAAKGGAGAAATAACTTGTTTACTCATAGAGCCCAGTTTTGAATTTTCTTACTTTGATTCAACAAAAGTTTTTAAAATGAGGCAAGTTTTTTTTTAAATTAAAAGAAAGAAAATAATCTTGTTTGATGATCGTTCAAAACAGCTATATTTAAAAAATCTCTCTCCTACAATACATGTCATTTGTTTAAAGAAAAACTTTCGGTGAACAATTTTCGCAAAAAAATTAAAACATATTTTACTAATTCATATTGTTGTTTTTTTTTCTTTTTTATTATATATTTTTCTGTTTTTTTTGTTAGTAGGTCAGTTATTTTTAGTTTTATTAGAGTACAGTTTTTGTACATTTCATTTTATTTATTTATTTCTTTAGTTTTCTGTTTATTTATTTAAATAGTTATTTTTGTTAAGGGGGTTAAGTTTAACTAGCATTTGCTAGACTTCACTTTCCAAGTTATATAATTTAAATCAAGACGGTTTATTATCATTATTATTATATGTGATTGTGTTTTGACAATGAAATTTTGTTTTGAGTTTGAATTTTGTGATTTTTTTCAAAATGACAACTTATTTGAAAAATTTTTTCGGAAAAAATTGATTAAGATGTAGATAATGATTACAGTGAATGGTGAAATTATGGATTAATCTTATTTATTAAAACTGAAAATACTTTGTTTTGGCAGGTCAAATTTCTGTTTAAAAAATACATAATTCCCTATTTGATTGCATGTTTGTTTTTTGTTGATATAATTTCATTTTTTGTTCTTTCGAAAACTGTAATTTAGTATTTTGGTGTTACTTTCGCCAATTTTTGTTATCATAATCTATAAAAAAATTAAGGGTTTCCACTAAAAAAATCCATTGGTAAAAGCTTTTTCTTAATTTTCCTCAAAAACTTTCCTCCAAATTAAATCAAAAAAACTGATTTTCAATAAAATCATTATTCATAACCATTTTTTTTTAATTTTTATTGTTTTAATCAATTGTTTTGTCCTAATTTTTTTTATCTATTCTGTTATTTTTTTACCCATATAGGTATATTTGCCAGCAACCTACCTAAATTAAATCAAAAAACACCTAATCGTCTAAATTCGAATCACAATCTTGACAATTTTTTAAATTTCATGTTTAATTTGCAATAATTCAATAGTATTTTTATGAGACAAAAAAACTCGTTTTTAAGTATTTTATTCACTTTGAATTGTATCAAAAATCGAAGAGATAAGATTAAGATAGGCACCTATTTCGTCAGTTTTTGATGAACAAACATGTTAACAAAATGTTGTTTTATGGAGCATTGATTTATAAGTCTAGTATTCTTTTCTGAAGGCAAAATTGGCCCTAATAACGGTAAATATTTTTTTTACATTGCTTTCAGACATTAAGGTAATTAATGGCAATAATGCGCGAAAAGGGCAATTTCCGTGGCAGGTGGAGTTAATGTCCCTTTTGCGACATCATTACCATTAATTACCTTAACATCGTCTGTTACCAAAGTAATAAAAAAACGTATGTTTTGTCAATTTACCGTTCTTAGGACTTAAAACAACATTTTGTACTACTTAACAATTTTTTTCGCACCCTTATTCTCTTATAAAACTGAAAAAACCAACATGTTGTGCGGAAAAAAATTCAGATGTTGCCATTTTGAAAAAAAATACAAACCTCAAAAACATTCTTCAAGTGCAAAAACAACCATAAATACAATTATTTTTAATTTGTGTCAAATATCAATGCAAAAATCTAGAAAAAACTATGCAATTCTTTAAACATATTAATCAAAAAGATAATAGATGTAATCATGGTTAAATAAAAAACATTCTACTTCTTGAATTTTTATCTTACTTCTTTTTATTTATTTATTTTTTTCAATAATTTGATTGTGAATTCAGTCGCTCAAGTTGAGATAAGATTACGACCGAAAACTAAATCAACAAAAACAAAACCACTTTTAAATTGAAAAAGTGATGAGTGCAAAATGTGGTTTCCTGGAGCACTGATTGTATTTTTATTGTCTTTCTCTGACGGCAAAATTCACCCTCATGACGGCAAATGGTAAAACAAGCGTTTATATTTTTGTGAAATTGTTTTTTCTAGAAATTAAAATCATTAATGGTAACGATGCGCAAAAGGGACAATTTCCGTGGCAAGTCTTAATATGGACTGAAACAACAAATAATCAGTTTATTAACTGTAGTGGTGCTATTATCAGTCATGATTGGGTTCTCACTTCTGCTTCGTGTATAAATCAGTTAGTAATTGAATTTAAAATAATCAAAAAAAAAAAGTTTTTTATTTGTAGAGCTAACTTAGTGAGTGTTGCTTCTGGAAATAGTGATTTGAGTGATTTGTCGGGAGTTATAATCACAGAGGCGGAAAGTGTCAACATTCACGAGGATTTTAACAATGATTCTCTTCAAAATAATCTCGGATTGGTGAAACTTAAATCATCTTTAATTTTTGATGGTGATTTTAGAACCAAAGAAAGAACTAAATTAAAAATGAATTGTTTTAGAAACCACTCAAGCTATTTCTTTGAGTGAAGACGTTGTGGGGGACGGAATTAACGTTACAATTGCTGGTTGGGGATACTCCAATAAAGGTAAAACTGCAATACAAAATTTTATAATTAAATTAATTAAAATTGTTTATAAATATAGATAGCAATAACATTACTTCGATTCTTCAATTTGCAAATGTTCCTACTATCAAGAATTCAGAATGTGCAAAAGTTTATGGTTCTAAGGTTGTAACTTCAACTGTGCTTTGTACACACAACTCAAGTCTTGTAAAAGGTCCTTGTATTAACGACGGTGGAGCCCCCTTAATTATGAATGCCGCCACTGACCCTCAACATGTCGGTATCTTCAGTTATATAGGAGCAAACGGGTGTGAAAAAAATTATCCTGCAGGATATACAAGAACTGCATCCTATTTAAACTGGATTAAAAATAAAACTGGTATTTAAGTTATTGTCACATGCAAATAAAAAATTCTATTGAAATTACGTTTTTTTTGCAAAAATTACTACAATTTTACACTTTTCCTAAAATCACTACTATTTTCAGCAATTAAAAAAAAAATAAACAACCTTAAAAAAGAAACAAATTTTCGCCTGATTCTTCAATTTTAGAAAAATCTTTGAAAGTAAAGTCGACTCTTTGACTCATTGAAAAAAAAATTATAATAAAAAAAAGAGAAATAGAAATTCTGAGTTTTGAATTTTATTTCCAAAAACAATACTATTTTTTTTTTGATTTTTTTGCTTTAGTAATATGTTTAAAAWATTGCCGAAAGTAGCAAAACAATGCAAATTTGTAAAAACAGTTCTAGATTTTTGCGTTGATAATATTTTAATGCTCCTACTTTTGAGTCAAAGAA